ATTTTTAGTTGCAACCAAAGCTTGAAGGGAACACTGTTTGAATATGAGTGTTCCACACAATTCCATTTTAATCGTTTGATGAACAGTCGTGCTCAGTGTTCATTTCCCAATGCTGGCTAATGTAATCCGAATAGAATGGGTTTTGTGTACCGCAAGGCAATCGCCTTTTTCTGAGCGTAACCTTTGCACAAATGCGACCTCATTTAGATGTGAAAAGAAGTCTTATCGCCAACTGATGCACTTACATGGGACACAGCGAATAGCTCATTCACAGTAATTCATGAATGGTGCAAGTGGATTATACATAGTGGTGTCAATTACGGAAAATCGGAATACCGATACCAAACCAAATACCAACCAAAACTGTGGGGAAATACCGAAACCAAACCAACTTGGGAAAATGAGGGAAATACCAACTTTTTACTGATTTCTTAGCCTCTTAAACATTAGTGAGGGTTAATGATACCAACAAAATACCAAACACATTACGATTAAAATACCAAATACCAAGTTGGTATCGGTTTGGTATCGGTATACCAAAAAGTTGGTATCCGATTGACATCTCTAATTATACAGAACGATTTTATGATCTGCGATTCTGTACGCCAATGTGTTTTTCCCTATACTTGTCTATATGACACCGCACTCACAGGTAATAGTCTGATGATGGGGGTAACCTTTGCAGTTAACATACACGTCCTCAGTAACAGGTAGAGGTGGCAAAACTGGAAAATTTTGGGACCCGGACCCGGACCCGGTCTGACTGGCACATTTCTGGAACCGGTCAGACCCGGTCTAAGTCAGCGTTGGAACCAGATGGACCCGTTCCAGAAATTCATTATGAAAATTGTGTACAGTTGTAGGTATAGCAAGAAGAAAATAGTTTCTATCCAATTGGGCAAACTTGTGTTGCAAAGTAAAAAACGCATGCCATGGTCATTTCACTTCGCTTCACAGTTTGTATTTTAGAACCAGATTCAGATCATATTTAAGAATATAAGAAGCAAGTAAACCAATGAATTTCATGCTAACCTAAGCCACTTTTACTACAGCTGCCAAAAATGATGTGAACTGGGGATCCATGGTGATGGAGCAGTGCTGGTGCCTTCACCAGGGTCAGAACTCAGAACCTGACATCAACATGGAACAGAATAACCATACTGATACATACCTTTTTCTAATATTCTTGGTAAAAGATATTCGTTTTTAGAATTAAATTCATTAGTCCTTGCAAATATTATCAACTATACAAGGCCCCAAACGAGAAAACATTCAAAATCAAAATAGAAACATCAAAACTTTGTGAGGTCCGCCAGAAATGTCGACACGATAGCAACGCAAGGACAAAACAGGCGTTAAATCACTGCAAAATTTTGTTGGGGTTTAAGTACTACATCTCCTCCATGACAAAATCGTAATCAATAAACTTTTAAGCACTGCAACTTGCAAGGTTCCGATCATGACTTAAGTGCCAATTTATTAACGTAGAAAACAAACTACATTTTGTTGTTAGTACCTAGATATAGAATAAATACCAAGGGCTCTGAGACTTACCTGATTTCTTCCCAAACGTGTTCCAAAATTGTAACTTTTTTGCAGTAGATTAGCGTGCGTAAGGCATAGCATATATGACGCTCAAATGCGCCATTTTCACGTCAACACGGAATCATTGGCCTTGGAGAAGGGCATTGGTAATGACTCAGTTTTTTTGCCAGCTGCTGCCGTATGGTGGCGCTAGTAAAGCGCTATATGTATAATGCACTCTGCTAGCGCCACCATGCGGCGCCAGTTGGCTAAAAATCTGATCAATACTACGGTTTCTGGAGAATGCCTTGGATTCATTTTTAGCTTTATGGATTTATGCAAGGGCATGTTGGTTTTATGAGTTGTCTTCTGGCCGTGATAGAAATAATTTCAAAGCTGTTTGAGTTATGAAATGCTTTTGAATATCAAACATGAACTCGGATTTCTGGTGGGCATAGTGACTTTGGTATGTCAATGTCATTGAAATGGCAGGTAAGAACTAAGAATGCCACTGGTCAGCCTTGCTTCAATTGGATTTGTGTCCATTTATAAATGGATTTCAATCATACCTACTTACCTACATATGTCATTGGTATTTGATTTCTACAGCTCAAAATATTGTTAGGTGTGGTACAGCAAACTGAATGGAAGTGATGCGTACAAACATTTGGAGAAATATTTTCTGGATTGCCAGCACTTAGAACTTGTATATTTTGTTGTAGGTGACAAGATTAGAAATTGAAGCAAGACTGACCAGTATGCTACAGAATAGGTAGCCCAATCTGCAGGAATATTAAAATTCAAAAGTGGAACTGGGACTTATGGACTGGAAACTGCATCAATTATGTTTTCCAAAGCATAAAAGATATTAACATTTACCATAAAGCACAGGGGAATGATAGGACCCGGTTGAACCCGGCCAAAAATTTTGGGGGACCCGGTCTGGACCCATCCGGGTCCAGACCGGGTCCATAGACCGGGTCCCCGGGTCCACATTTTGCCACCTCTAGTAACAGGACCGCATGACATTCACTCTGTACGGTATATGCAGACAGATGAATACACCCTGAATGCGGCGTATAGGTATTTACCTACTGTTGGCCGACGGAGGCCTGCTATCGTCGGCACACTGGGCGAGCGGGGGCGGGGGCGTCGGTGGCGGCGTCTCCCCGCCCCTGTCGATGGACAGACTGGGTCACTGGATCGCCGATCCTGGCGGCCGATCTAGGACAAGCCGGTTGTTGCCAGGCACCCCTGCGCCAGAGGGCGGCGAGAGCCGTGGTGGCTGGACGCCGATTGAGGGAAAGGGAAGAGGACGGTTATGGAATGGACAATGGGCATTCCAGTGATTGCATACTCTGAAAACTATCTCCTTCGGTCCTAGCTGCACTGACGTCAACCGGACGAAGTTTACCAGCTTCTAAAGTTGCACTCAGCTTAGAGATCTTCTCGACTTAGACTCACTGGTGATCCGCATTCAGGGAACGCCAGGCTCACCCGGTGACAATTACCGTATTGGGTTCCCTGGAACGGCCGCCTCCTGCGGACCACTGTTGACGCCGGGCTGCGTCTCGGAGTTCTCAGAGAGGGCGTGTCGGAGGTCCCGGCGGCACCCTGTGTTCTCTGCCCACATCCGGCGCGCACCCCTCGCCGTCACGTCGCCCCGCGGCGCACGTAACGCCGCCGTTACGGTCAGCAGTACCGTCACGGCTGGCTGCAGCACGGACGGCACGCTGGGGTCGAAGGTCTGCTGGGGGTGAGGGGGAGGGGGACACCCAGAGACGGAGATGCCGGGAGGGGTGCCGCCCAGAACCAGACGCTGTCTGTGGCTGGTTGTAGTCCGTTTATCGGCCTAACTTTGTAGACACGTCGATCAGGACCTAAACGGTTTTGGTCTGGGTCAGTGATCTCTTCGCATAAATATAACTCAATTTGTAAGACTAGCCTCCATCAGATTGACATGTTCCTGTTGCCATGGCATACATTTGTCATAATGGGTCTTCTTTTCCAGCATTTGGGATGAATATAGCGAGATAAAAGTTTTTTTTTTGTTGCCTTTTTTGTAGGCGACCTGACGCGCGCTACCAAAGAAGTGCACTGCAGCATATCTGAAATGTTACTGAGCTATTTTGATCATATCCTGGACGTTTTTGCTATAACACTCACCGAAGCCACACAGCCACTCAATGGGTTACGCAGAGTGGAGTTGGGACGCCTCTTACGTGGCTCTCCGAGTTCTATCCCCACCGATGACCCTCAGTAATGCTGAGTGATGGGGGTAAACCTCTAGTGATGCTGACCCCCTCGGTGTTACACGGCAGACGTATGTATTTACTGGTTACTCTGACGGTCGTGAAGGACCGTGCCGTGGCGGGCCGTCGGACCTGTGTCCGGCTACACTGATCCTAGCGAGACGTGTCTGCCGCTCACCGGCTGAGCCCATCCTAATGGCACGCCCACACGGCCGCCGGACTGCAATTACCCCCTCATATCCTCCAGAAATGGAAAGGAGCCGCCGCTGCAGAACGGCTGCTCTGAATATAGCCATTGGCAAAACAGACACGGCTGACGTTACCACTAACCATGAGATCAAGTGGACGAAAATAATGCTGTTTTATCAAACAATTCTGTATGGCTGTGTGTGGCGTGGTATAACCATACTTGGCATCCTTTGGCTCCCATTCAATAGATATTTGGATGCGATAGCTAAGTCCCTGTCATGGTGCCACCCTGCTCTCCGTGGGTGGCACTGTGTTTTTTTTTTGCCCGCCTTGGGATCGGTGGCCGTGGTTCGTGACCCGGATCCATTCTGTGACCTGCCCGCTGTGTTGCTTTTTTCCCGCGACTCGGGATCGGTGGCCGCGGTCCGTGACCTGGCCGCGGTCTGTGACTTGGCCGTGGTCCGTGACCTGGCCGTGGTCCGTGACCTCGCCGCTGTATTTTTTTTTGCCCGCCTCGGAAGCGGTGGCCGCGGTCCGTGAACTCGCCGCCCCTCATCGCTATCGCCCGCCATCGTCAATCGACCGGCGATTTGGTAACTGTTGACCGGCGATTTGGTAACTGTTGACTGGCGCTCATCGGCCGGCGCCGGATGTTGCCCAAAACGTCCACCAATATGCCGGCTGTTGAACTTTGGCCGCTGACGCTAACAGACAATCAGCTGACGCTCGATTGGTAGCCCATACCCCCTTGGTGACCGCTGACCTCTTTGAGCTACTGCATCGCTTAAGCCGGTGTCTTACTTTGGTTCGTTCTTTTTTTACTCTTTATCCGCTTGTTTATAGCGATTCCTGGATTCCCTGTCTAATTTTAAAAACTGTTTCATCCTTCCAATTGCAATGAGTGCATCATCAAGATACACTTACAGCATACATAACATAGGTCATCAACATTTCTATCGCCATTCTGAGCGTCTCTGTCCTGTGTGCTCCTATGTCTTCGACCATCCGCGTGACCCCCTCGTTTCTGCTCCTCAGGTCCGAAGGGCGTGACCACCGACCGTCGCGGTAATCTTCTGGTGGTGGATAACCGGGGCTCTGCGGTGGTCACTTTCTCCACCGGGGGTCGCCTGCTGGCCCGGTTCGGCAGCCGGGGCACGGCTCAGCACCAGTTCGCGGGACCGCACTACGTGGCCGTCGACAGCCAGGACCGCGTGGTGGTCACCGACTTCCACAACCACTCCGTCAAGGTGGGTCACGGGTCGGTGCGGCCGGTTACGTTGGTCACGGGGCCAGGTGTATGGTCATTGGTCACGGGTCAATGGGGATTAGAGTTTCACTTAGTTTATAGGGGGGACGTTCACTTGATCAGTAGGTGGACCACAGAGTCAAGGCTCAAAGAGAATTATTTCGGGTGTAGGGGTCACGGGGTCCAAGAACGCTGTCATGGGGTCAGATAGGCTGGTTACGGGGAAGAAGAGCTATTTTCTACGGAACATAGTTGAGTAATGAAGGCAACCAGGATGAGGATTAGGGGGGGGGGGGGGGTTCACATGAAATACCAACTCACAATTATGTCAACCATGGTCTTAATTCTACGTGAGTAGGCAATACCCATTAGCTTGATAATAAAAACCCAGGATTATCTGTGCTTCTGAGACCGGAGGACGCCCGTCAGACAGATGGATCCGGTTCATGACTCGTACAGAATGGACACCACCTAAATCCACAGCGGCGTTTCTGCGAATGACCGTGTCGCGTTCCAGTTGGGTGGTGAAGTTCACAAATGGCGTCATATTTTTGCTGGTTAAGGTTTGAAAATAAACTCAGACTGGCGCTAAAACTATGATTGTTCAAAACCATGCAGCGTGACTACGTCAAACTTTTGGAGACGGTCTTTTACAAGTTGAATCCATAATGTTTGTTATCAGACCCTGGCTATTCATTTTGAAATGAGTTATGCATGATTCATGAACTTTCTCTTTAGATCATGGTACTATAATTTCATTCAACTGGTGACAATGCTCCAACTTATACCCCTAAATCAGAACACCAACATTCTATGCTCGTTATGCAAGCACATCCACGTAAGGGCTGTCGAGTAAATCCCGCACCACTTATTGTGAAGCATCTGCCCAGTAGACCATGCGCTGTAGTGCAATCTAATTGTTCTTCTCCGAGCAATGAACGCTGAGTTGATCCATATGCAGGGAAAGGCTGGACGAACGGACATTTGACCGACACCATCTCACCAAATGACCAAAGGAAGGATGCCAACTGCAGCTAATGATAATCAGGTTAAGTACATAAACGTTCCCTTTTTGCAGCGCCCTTCCGTTATATAACCCATCACATATATTAACCTGGGACGGGCCTGGACTCTGTGGCAGACCAGCCGCGGCGGTGAGCCGGAAACGCCGCTCGCGCTAAATGTCGCTGGTCAGACGTCGGGTGGGCGGCGGGAGACGGACCGTGTCCGACTGCCAGGGCCCGGACATCACTCGCCGCGAGAGTTTTGCGGGTCACAACACGGCACGTGGACGGGCTGATTGGAATTATGGCGCACAGCTGCTTAGCAAACGTCATCGTAACAAGCCTTGGATTTAGCAAACGATCTAAAGTTCCAATGGGTGGCCAATATAAGCACTTTCTTGATTTAGAAAACAGAACAAAAACGGCTAGAACTGGTAAATTGGGTGTGATACGAGTATGAGGAAAACATCGCATTGGTTCTATATGATGCTTCTCAACAGAATGTGGAACAAATCAACCAGTCATGGAATATCTAAGACAGTTTTTGAAGCATCTTTGGCGTATGTAAAACGATCACAATTCATTTTGCTGTAAGATGCACATTGCAAATTGCACAATTTAGCTCGGCTCAAGCCGCACAGCTGCAAACTCGTCTTGCGGCTCGGTGGCATCACCCCGTGCGGCTGCCGTCGGAGCAGAGGTAGGCTGTACCGCATCACTCCGGTGCGTGGCGGCACAGCCTATCTGCTCACCACTCCGGCGGCCGCTCGTCGGCGCGGCGCCTCAAGACTATGTACATACAGTCCGCCCGCCAGCCGTCTGCTGTCCAGAGAATGAATGTGTTTGGTGAGGGTGACGTCATGTTTACAGTTTACCCTGCCATGATAACACGGAGTCAACGTGATGAGTGAAGTGAACCCATATTGTGGCATACCGGCAGAAATTCTAGACTAATGGGTTCATAAAGTCCGTTACAGTCCAGACGGCAGGTCAGACGCTGTTGCTGTGCAAGTGGCAAACATGGAAATGAGCAAACAGACATCCAGTTGGCACCAGGCACCAGACAGAGTAGATATGGAAAATGCCAACGGATGCCTTCCACGGCGTCCATGAGCAATACTAAATCTAGGCAGCGTGGGTCAGACATGGCTGTGTCAGTTTCTCGTATCAGTCGGTGCTTTACACAAATCGCCATGGTGATGCAAACACTCATAAGCTCAGCTATCAACTGTTCTTAACAACTGGTATCTCTTACAGCCGGTATGTTGTGCATAAATGTAATACTAGAGGAATGTCAGTTCTTATTGAGATGACCGACAACTTCTGGGCAATTGAGGATTTCCAGAGGCCATACCTACCATCCCGGATGCAATACATTTGACGTGAAAGCAGCATTTTGTGTCGCAACATTGGCGTTTATTAACGGAAATGGTTCACTTCCATAAAACATTATTAGATATTGTATTTGCTATGAATGCTTGACGCATCAAACTCGGAACTTCGGATAAGCACGATTATGAACTCGGGCGATTTCACATCTTAATATCTTACTTTCTAACGTTGAAAGGAAGTCATTTAGCCAATCAGTTAATCGACTGGAATTTCTGGAAATAACTGCAGGTCTGTCTTTTCGTTCTCCGTGCTAACTGACCAGTGACCATTGACAAATTGTGTCACTGATAAATTACCTACCTATATCTGTTTAAATATGAAGAGGATTGCTTGGAGCTAAACGGCTTGGATCAGTGACCAATGACCATGAAAAGAAGTCAGAATACTTCAAAATGTGAAATGTACGCTAAGAAACAGGATGTTAAATGTTGTCACTTGTCACTCTCAGGTTCAACTTCTAAATGTTATAATCAACAAGCCAGTTTGGTTTATTCGACGCTGTGTTAGATGTTGACTGGCAGCTTTTGCAAACAAATCACAGCATGCTTCCTTCCATGAGCTGAATGCCAGTCCATTCAGCCCGTTCAGTCTGCCTTGTTCCTCCTGGTCCTGTTGTCTACCCAACCGATTTTGCTGGCTGTATCCTACCCGTTTTCTAACTCTATTTTTTAAATAACGTGTTCTATTCGCCAGGTGTTCAATGCGGACGGTAAACACCTGTTCAGTTTTGGCGGGAACGGCGAGGCCCCTGGTCAGTTTAACGCGCCAACCGGAGTCACCACGGACCGCTACGACAACATTCTGGTGGCCGACTGGGGAAACAGCCGTATACAGGTGCGTTATAACTGGGGAAACAGCTGCATACAGGTGCGTCAGAACTGGGGAAACATCCGCATACAGGTGCGTTATAACTTGGAAACAGGCGCATTCAGATGTGTTAAAACTGGGGAAACAGCCGTATACAGGTGCGTTATAACTGGGGAAACAGCCGCATACAGGTGCGTCAGAACTGGGGAAACATCCGCATACAGGTGCGTTATAACTTGGAAACAGGCGCATTCAGATGTGTTAAAACTGGGGAAACAGCCGTAAACAGGTGCGTTATAATAGGGAAACAACCGTAAACAGGTGTGTTAGAACATAGAACTGGGGAAACAGGCATAGTGGGACAAGGGCAACAGTCGAATGCAGTGATGGGCGATTAAAACTTCTTTAGCAGTTGTGTACACAGGTCATTTTAAAGATGGCATTCGCGTATGCGCCTTCATTGAGCGACGAACCGCCTCTGTACTAGAGTTCTGCACGGCTGCAATTTTCCACAGCCTAGCCGCCCCGCAGCCGTGGCTCCACAGCCACAGCCGCCCACAGCCATGGCAAACTGTGGGCAGCCAGCCGTCAGCCGGCCGTGGATACTTTCAATGAAATGCAGCCAAATAGTATATAATAAGTTGTTTTTAGTTGAAACATATAGCCAAAAGCACATTGCAATGGGCTATAGATTCTCAAGCTCATGAAGCATCATAGGTTAAGTGGTTGTGTATCTGGCTTTAGGCCGAAGGCCTGAAGCCTGATGCGCAACGCATGCCTACACAAGCCCTTGCAAGGGGTTAAGAAAGATGGGTTGGTAGGTACCTACATCAACAGAAAACATAAACAACGAACCAGAATAGAAGCACTAGCAGTGTAGACATCTAATGCCAAATCCTGAAGCATGGTTGTGGGACAGAACAACAGACCCTGATGCTTTTCATTATCAATGTTAGGTATGGAAAATGAAACTGAAGTTGATGGACTGTCAAACAGTGATTGTCTAGTCAAAACTCTTGCTTCTTTCTTACCTTGCATATTTTCTGGGGAATGATATGCCAGGCTTGAAGCAGCCTTCTGAGCAAGTCTAAAACTAATTTGATATGCAAGGCATCAAAACACTAGTGAGCATCCAAGAAATAAAAACATTCATCTATTTTGATTTTTCCAAATAATGCTCTTCGCTCAAATCCCCAAGGACGTGCGAGCCACAATTGCCTCTTTCATTCAAAAGTTTTACTTGAGTTTTTAATGACGTCAATAGCAAAGAAGTGACGATAAATTGTTTTGTTTCACTACAAACAGCCATAAAAATTATAATTAATAAATAATGATGCTAATTGCTAAACAATTAAAAAATTGCTCTTAAACAAAGATTGGGTATCAAATTTTTACATTTTCAGAAGAAGACGTCATTTTATTAGTAAAGTCAACAGCTCGCGTAAGAAATATTGTGTTCAGGGTTTTCACCGGCATGTGAATTACCTACGTGTTCAGGGTTTTCACCATCATGTGAATTAACCGTAAGTAAGGTTCATGCTCACTTATAATCTAATGCCATTGGCTTCGTTGATCAGCATTTTCTGTTAGCGGTCACTCACACACCAGTTAGAACATAAAGCGCCAGTTTCATATTATGCAATTGGACTTGCCGAAATAAGAGTTATTTTAGATAATATTTTCTTAAGCCTTTACCTGCCTTTTCCTAGGCGTGATTTCTTTTTCTATTACCTGAAAGAATTATTGAACGCTCGTCTTCAATAGCTGTAAGGTGCTCTCCTAAAGACCAGGTGAGATTGATTTGAGAGGGATGTGACAATGCAACATGTTGCATTTTCTGAAACCAGGGGCGGATCCAGGAAAACTCCAAGGGGAGGGTCATGAATCGAAGTGGTGCCCCTACCTATACCCAAAATTAAAAACTCAACGGATTTCGTCCACTTCATTTTGGTGGTGCCCCCATTTTCAGTTTTTATTTTTATTTTTTATTTTTAGTCAGTATCTTAACCCGCGCCCCGCTGGGGGGGGGGGGCAGAATCTGCCCCCCTCCCGTTTTTCGCCAATAACTTCTAAACGCGTTACGCCAGCGACGTCAAACTTTCAGTACCTTATCATACATCAATTTGACACGTTCCCTGAAAATTTGAGCAAAATCTGTCGGAAAATTTTTGAGAAATTGACGTTTTAGTGACGTCATGTTCGCCATTTTCGCCTCAAAAACGGCAAAATTTCAAACGCCGCTAACATCTTCATTTTTAAAGGAATCAAGACGTAACAAAAAAGGTTATACGTGATTCTACTTTGTCTATCAAATGGCTATCTCGTTTTTTTGAAAATTTTGGATTTTGGCCAAAATTTTTCCAAAAAACTGACTTTTTTGGGAAAATATTTATAAAATCCAAAATTTTGAGTTTATCGAAAAAACCGGAATATATGTCAAAGACGTGGTCTATGTGCACCTACATACCAATTTTTAGAAGAATCGGTTCAAAAATGTGGGAGTTATTCAAAATTTTATGACGTCACGACACACAAAAATTTTGAAAAATGATTTTTTTGGAAGTTCTAGACCTCGTACGGAAACAAAAATAGCACCATTCGATTCGCCGTGAAAAACTGCATCGAATAGACACCTTTTTAGGCCTTAACAACCAACTTCAAAATTTGACCTCACTTGACCTGACCTTGACCTGACCTCGACCTGAAATTCATCCAGAGGTGGTCCATATCACTTATTGAGTGTGCCTATTGAATTCCATGAGTAAAATGACCCATAAAACATGTGTCGCACATGCCCTTTTCTATATTTTGTTTTTGGTGACCTGACCTGACCTTGACTTTGACCTTTGAATGACATTGTGTGCAATGAATATTGTCTTGGTAGTCTAAGAACACGTTTTGGGCAATCAGTCTCAGTCCATTCTTCGGCAACTACGGTGCAAGGCCGATACTGTAGAAACTTGTATTTTGTACCCTTGACCTGACCTTGACCTGACCTCTGACCTACTTAAGCAAAAAAATTTGGGCTCTTAAGATCCGCCTTGTTGAGAGCTTTCGATTGCCGTTTTCCCCGTCTTTCTACGACCATCGGTTCGGAAGTTAGACAGGGGGGGCAGAATCTGCCCCCCCCCCCCCAGCAGGGCGCGTATGGCTGAATAGCCCAGCGGGGCGCGGGTTAACTCTTAGCCACAACCACATTTACCAATTGTAAGCAAGTATATATGAATGTGCTATGTGTATATATGTTGTGGACGCTGAGTAGTGAGTACTTACCAGGAACGTTATCAGGTAAGCAAATCGTTGTCAGTCCGACGAACTTGACCCTGGCGTCCAAAGGGTCTGTCCTTGACACTTCAGGCTTGTCAGGGGCACCAAAGTCCTTCCAGGGACACCACAAACCTGTCAGGGGCACCTACGGCCTTGTAGGGGCGCCACAGGCCCGCCAGGAAGCAGGGGCACCACAGTTCTAGCAAGTATACACGACAGGCCTGTCAGGGGCACAACGGGCCTGTTGGGTCCATGAGCACCCCTAGGGGCAGGGGCACCACAGTCCTTCCAGGGGCACCGCAGGCCTGTGAGGGGCACCAGCGGCCTAGCAGGGGCACCAGTCAACACAGGCCTGCCAGGGGCACCACAGACCTGTCAGGGGCACCAGAGGCCTGCCAGGAGCACCACCGACCTCGCAGCGGTAACTTGGCCTGTCAGGGCCCAGGGGCACCACGGGCCTGTCGAGAGGCACTTCAGGCTTTTCAGGGGCACCATAGTCCTCTCCGGGCGCAGGGGTAGCAGGGGCACCAGAGGCCTGCCAGGGGCACTACAGGCCGAGCAAGGGCACCACTGGTCAATCAGGGGCACCACGAGCCTGTCATAGCCAGGCATCTCAGGCTTGTTAAGGCCCAGGGGAACCACAGGTCTGTGAGGAGCACTAGCGACCTAGCAGGGGCACCAGTCAACACAGGTCTGCCAGGCGCGCCACAGACCTGCCAGGGGCACCACAGACCTGCCAGGGGCACCAGAGGTCTGCCAGGGGCACCACCGGCCTCGCAGGGGCACCTTGGGCCTGTCAGGGGCACCACGGGCCTGCCGAGGGGCACTTCAGACTTTTCAGGGGCACCAGTCCTCTCCGGGCGCAGGGTACCAGCGGCCTAGCAAGGGCACCAGAGGCCTGCCAGGGGCACCAGCGGCCTAGCAAGGGCACCAGAGGCCTGCCAGGGGCACCAGCGGCCTAACAAGGGCACCATGGGCCTGTCAGGGGCACCTCAGGCTTGTCAGGGCCCAGGGACACCACACTCCTTCCAAGGGCACCGCAAGCCTGTCAGGGGCACCAGAGGCCTGCCAGGGGCACCACAGGCCTAGCAAGGGCACCACTGGCCTGTCAGGGGCACCTCAGGCTTGTCAGGGCCCAGGGGCACCACAGTCCTTCCAGGGGCATTACAAGCCTGTCAGGGGCACCAGAGGCCTAGCAAGGGCACCACAGGCCTGCCATGGACACCACAGGCCTGCCAGGGGCACCACCGGCCTTGCAGGGGCGCCTCAGGCCTGTCAGGGGCACCACGTGCCTGCCGGGGACACTTCAGGCTTGTCAGGGGCGTTACAGTCCTCTCAGGGCCCAGGGGCACCGCACCAGGCCCGTGGTGTCCCTGCTAGGCCTGTGGTGCCCCTGGCAGGTCTTTGGGCCCCCGGGCCTCAAGGGGGAGGGGGGCATGACCCATGTGACCCCCCCTTGGATCCGCCACTGTCTGAAACTGTCAAGCTCTTGATGATGAAGGAACAATTGGTACCTTTAATTAGTATTCTGTACCAGAGTGCAAACTCCCCTAAAGCAAATGGTAAAACCATTACAGGTGTTCAAAGGCTTCACCACTTTCAATGTTGCTGGGCATCCTTTGCATGATTTTTACAGGCTAGACTGGTTATCAGAATGTAAGATTAAGGATTTAAAATTTGATATTTGAGTACTTAAGATTGAGCTTGAAATCTCACAGCCGTGGCCACAGCCGTAGCCGTGTTCTTGGAGATACTTGCAGCCGCCCCGGCCCACAGCCGAGGGGCTGCAGCCAGCCGCGGCTGCAGCCGGCCGGTGCAGACCTCTACTCTGTACCTACCAGACTTCCGGAGGGCTGACCCGGCCACCCTGCCCTAACGACCTGGCGGGCGCTAATGGGCCGTCAGACGGCGCCAGGCGCTCTGTTTTATCTGCATTTTGATGGGCTTGTCCAGCCGCGGCTCGAGATGAGAACCGTGTCGCTCCGGCGTGGCGCGGCGTCGCACCTCCGGTCCTATGACGCGGCTGTTTTGACGCCGCGCTGTGCGAGGCTGTGGGGCCCGGGGCGGCGGGGCCCGGGGCGATGGGGCCCGGGGCGGTGGGGTCTGCGGCGGTGCGCCTGAGGAGGTGGCCACAATACGCCACCAACGTCGGGACCGCAGGCGCCACTCTGGCGGGCAGACGCGCCCCGCACTGGCGCGGCCGTGTATACAGATATATGTGCGTCGTCATGCCAGGCCCCAGCGAACCGTGGTAGTCGGGTCACTGTGAAACGAGCCGCCCGTTCTTCCTGTTATTTTGTTTGATATTTCGGTTTAAATCATGTGTGGCTGATGGTACTTAGCGTCACGACATGATATCTAGGCAAAGAGCATCCGAACGAAATCATTAGGATTTTAGCGGTGTCGCTGTTGTGAGAATCCATCACCTTGCGTCCCATTTACAATGGTTTGTGTGGAGTTGATGATTGGTTTGTATGGAGCCTGTTCTCCGTCCTAGCTTACCCGCCCAGTGCATAATTGCGTTTCGTTCCGTTCAACTTGCTTTTTCGTTTGTTGTTTCTCTGCTCTGGTTATGCACCTGACGCCTTCGCCCTATTACAGGTGTTCGACAACACGGGTCGGTACCTGTCCACCGTTAACACCGGCGCCACTCCGCTCTACGGACCGCAGGGCCTGGCCATGTCGCCGCAGGGGCACGTCATTGTCGCCGACACGGGCAACCACGCCATCAAGTTCTACACCTACCACCCTTTGGCAGCGTAACACCCGTGACCTGTGCCTCCCGTGCCGTGCCGTCCCGTGCCGTGCTGCGCTGTGCCGCGCTGTGCCTCATGTGCCGTGCCGTGCCTCATGCGCCGTGCCGCTCCGAGCCTACCATACCACGCCGTTCTTGCCCTTGACGGCCGGTGGCTGAACGTTGCCCGGCGCGCCTGGTCCGTCCCCAAAGGTCGAACCCCGATACCTGTACCCGGGGAAGGCGGCTGGCGGGGTGCGCCGGTCCGTTCCCCGTCCACCCGACGGCGTACCCTGAGGCTGTTTACGGCGACCGTGTTTGTGTGGCAACCACTGCAATCCTGCGGCGGACCACTAATATCTCCGCCTGCATAAGGTAGTCGCTGCGGGCGCCTGGTGCTTTATTACGAACGGAAGCGCAGGGGGAGAACGTACTTACATCGGCAGTCAGCGCAGAGTGCGCCGTGCTATTTATCAGACAGGGAAAAGTTCCCCGCGAATGCTTGCTGTCGATGTATAATACGGGGTTAGGTCTGGAGCCTGTCCGAGCTACGCTGTCAGCCGTACTTAGGAACTGATTATTATTGCAGTGGTCCTGATGGCTGCTTGGACCGCGGTCCGTTTATATCCAGCCGAGCCCGTGCGCCGTTCGACGCACCGCTGAGTGTGGAAAACAGCCCGCTCCTGCTGATGTAACCGTCCTATATTACTGCACTGATGAACGGTGCCCCTGTGCGGTGTCATAAACGATAACAGGTGGCAATGGCACGTGTCAGGGGCGAGGGACAGCGCGGCCCACCGGGACGGCGACCCTTCTGTGCCTTCTGGGTGTGACGGGGAGAGGCGAGGTGACGGGCCCTCTTGTGCTGCTGGACTGGTGAAATGATGTGAAAATGTTACATCGTGCAGCGCTGGTGCTCGAAGACGTTACGAATTATGGGATGGTATTTATCGAACGTAATTTACTTGTGCTTTTGTTAAAATAATTAAATACTAAAACAAGGGCTTCTGTATGTTTTTTAGATTTTCGTGCGCTGTAGTGTTGATGTTTTATGTGAATATTGGACAACCACATGTCACGATGGGCGGTGCTAGTTGCTACTTATGGCCTGCTGCGTTTGCTAATATTACTTTACTTTTGTGGTAGGTTTCTGTTATCCAGTGGCATTATTGCAATAGCCCCTAGCGACCGGCCGAAGTGCTGCTTCTTTGGCCAGTTGTTGGTTTCACTGAGCTGTGTGGCGCGGGGTATGGAGCCAGTCTGACTGGGATGGGGGGGGGGGGGGGCGCTGGGCTGAACCGGGTGATGCCTGCCTGTCTGTGAGTGTGTGGACGTCCGCGGGTCTCCTCAGCTGCGCCGAATGAGTCACAAGTTCTGGGTGCCGGGTCACTCGCACTCCAAGTACCGTACATTTGCAGCACGCCTAGCTTAGGGCGCCGCGTCTGCGGCCCTCGCCGGCCCGTCATGGGCCGCCGTCGGTCCAGAGCCGTTTTTGGATACAATATACGCTGTGTCACTGCGTGGGTCTGTTGCTTGTTCCAGCTTGATAAATGCGGATAATTTTTGACTCCTGTGTTTGTATGCGTCTGTTCCCAAAAGCTATCTAAATCTAAATATGTTATTTATACAAGATTTACATATTCTACGTGGGAATTTGTTTTTTGTTGCATATAATATTCAAATTTATGTTCATGAACAACGTCACAACATTGAGCTGGCCTTACGTCATGTAATAACTGCGGTAGTAGCTTGCGATATACCGAACGCCCGCCACGTGCGTTGTGCGCGCCTGGTGTGACTAGATTTACACGGCATGAGATTGAAAGCACATTTGTTGATCTTATGAACGTCGCACGGAGCTGTCGTCAAAATACATCTGATGTAACCAGTCATTGGTCCCACACATGTAAGTACGTACATGTCAGCTGATGCAATTCTGTTATGATTATAATACGTACTTTGAAATGTGTCCATCCCCGACGCATTATCAGTCACCTGCAATGATTTCCATTCCAAAGGTTCGATCATTTTACTTACATTAATTACGTTATACTCGCCCTGCAGCTGTGATGTAAGGTGTGTGAGAATTATGCAGTTGTTTAGATCTGAATCTCATCCACGGGGTCTGGTCTGAGACAAACAGAGCCCACGTGTAGCGTCGGGCCTCCGTCACGCCCGGCCGCCGTGGCCTGTGACTTCTGGATCGTGTCAGTCACGATAACACGATCAATATCACACGTTGGCAGCCACCGATAGGGTGGCGTGAGCTCCACCCAACCAGCCAACCAGCGACAATGGACAGGCGTTATGGATGCATGAAATGATGCAAACATATAACTGATGCGGAGTTTTCTTGAATATGAGCGTAACTCAAAGGATCAGAATAAATGACGATTCGTAAATTCCATGGTTTTAATGCAATGGTGAAAATAAATATTTTTAGCCAATTAATACTACAAGTATCGTTCGCTATTTATTGTTGCCACATTACGATCTCTCTGCAGGTCTATTGATACTGTAACTACGACATAATGCTAATTGATATAAGGTAATTTACTGATACAACATGCGGTTAAAATATGCCAAACAATAACTGAGGTCTTTTGTGGTATGCAAAAAGAACATGGTCATTAGACCATTTTGTAGGTACATAAGCTCCCCTAATTTCCGTCCGAAGAACTCGGAAGATAATAAGCACCTTTAATTGGCCAGATCAATGCGCTTCTCGGTTGATATTTGGTTGATTTCATTATAAGTTAATAGCATAGGTAGTAGGTACATACCCACATCCGGACTGAGACCAAACGCATATGTAGCTGCAATTGCTATTAGCTTTGTAGCTGCTCTCCTAGATACAGCGGCAGCAAGTTTTTTTTCTAGAAAAGTCGCATGTTCAGCATTTGTTATCTCGCTGAAGACGTGAACCATTGCCGGAGAAAAACAGCATCTGGGGCTCCCGGCCGGCCAGCTCATTGTCGTAATGCTGAAATGGATACCCGCACCACCTGGAAATTTGAACGATCGTCTCTGCAGGTCTATTGATACTGTAACTACGACAAAATGCTGCAGCTAATATCCCGGAAATGTGCGACTTTTTCGATAATCCCGGGAAGTTATTTGATGAAGCAGAGATGAGATAAGCGGAAGCTAGAAAAAGAAAAGCAATACTTTTCTTGTGGCCAAGGTCGTTAGATGGGTCTTTATCGTATCTTATGCACGTATTTGTATATCTAAACAGTCTAAGGCCACAAACCTCGCGCTCCGCCAGTCCACGACACGCTCATCTTTTCTGCCCATGGATCTCTCGTCTCTTCTGTTGGTTCATTCCTTTAACCCATGATCCTGGTGGTCCTCCAGCCTCGTAAACCCACGACCACCAATCCTTTCTGTCCACAATCCTCCCGTCCCTACAACTCGAGATACTGCTTCAGCCCACGGTTTCTTGACTTGTTCGTCCCTTATCCCATAGTCCTGCCCTCTTATGTACAAGTCTACAATCCTACCGACTCATTGAACCCACGACTTTATTCTTTCGTCCCACCCCGTCCCGTCCCACGATCCTTCACGGTGTTTGGAGACGGCGCCACGCCAGTTCCGTGGGAGGAACAGAATTACTGCGGTTCGGTCTGTCTCCGCCACAGACATAGCTCACTGGGCGTTCACTCACATAGCTCACTGGGCGTCACTCGCATAGCTCACGGGCCGTCACTCGTGGTAGTCTGGCCAGGCGGTGGCTCTCAGACCTGAAGAGTCCGTCTGTGGACTCATTGACCCGAGGGAGGGGGCCGCTGCCGCCTCTGCCGGGAGGTAGTCCAGATGTTTTGGAAAAGTCTGGTCTTTAACCGTCTGCTTGATAGTAAAACTGCATGATGCATATGTATCATACTGTGTTGGTGGTGACTGGTCTTAAAGTTACTACACATGAGCGAAGAAGCTTCTGCGTTTTACTGAATTAAAAGTTTCAAACTAGCAGACGGCTTCCAATAGTTAAGGTAACAATGCATTTAATTGTTAATTGTATGCTCGGCATCTTACTTCGGCATTGAAGATCTTGCCCATTTCCATTTTAATAAGGTCACTCAAACTAAAATGGACTAACTGAAGTGTAAGCTTGGGCACGGCATGAAACGGCATGGGCTTGGGCATGAAAGAATGATTCAGCTTTCCTTTTAGCATCGACGCAAACAAACAAGCTAAGCAAGCCTCAAGCGCAAGTCCTCACTACCAATGCCGATAGTTTCGTTCGAACACATATATTTTTAAGGCATTCATCTAACAAGCCACTTGACCTACACTGTGAGCAGAACGAAAGTGAACTTTCCCACTTCAATTACCCTCGCGGGCCCGGGGTGTTTTGCCCCCCCCCCCCGACGAATATAAGTGATAGCTCGCGCTTAGGGATGGGAAGGCGAAACTTAATTAGGTATTCCCATCAATTTGACATCGTCTGGAGTAGGTAAAACACAAACTTGGACCTATAACTTTTTATGACGGCACAGGGTCGATTTTTCTAGACCCGTGCAAGGTAAATTTCGACCTCACAGACTTGAACTTCAAATAGCTGCCAAAAATAGTTTTAGAGTTAAAGACAAATTATGAGCATAGTTGTGTAGCATGTGACCTAGGGAAAAATACACGAATAATTTTGCTAGCCTGAGGTCAGAGGTTAGGTCAACGACCCCGAACTGGGTTGTAAGTTTTTTTTTTCTCAACAAAAATGGCCCAAGAGCTAAGGCAGTGGTATCAACACATTCTTCTTGTCAAGACGCGTCGAATGATATATATTTTATTTGGAAAAGGTCAAGGCTTATGTTGACCTCACGTGACCTTGAATGACCTCTAGTTGACCTTAGCATGCATGCTTGGCCTTATATGAAGTAGATATTCAGAGCCGGTGATGACGAACTTGGCATCCATTTTGTTCTACACTGTAAACACCCATGTCAAAAACCAGCACCCTGTACCTGCTTATTTTAAGCAGGCTAACTGGGTGCTAAGTTTTAGCACCCTTTTCGAAAAATAGCTCCCTGTGCCGGCTTATTTTAAGCACCCTAAATGGTTGCAGCCATTTAGGGTGCTTAAAATAAGCCGGCACAGGGAGCTATTTTTCGAAAAGGGTGCTAAAATTTAGTACCCATTTAGCCTGCTTAAAATAAGCAGGTATAGGGTGCTGGTTTTTGACATGGGTGCTAAACTTTTTTTACAGTGTAAGCATTCGTTTAGAGTCTCAGGATAGCAAAAATGACTTGATTATCATGGCTGACTTGAATCAGTGGAAAGGCCTCAAACAAGGATAATCTTGCGTGAGCTTGGCCTTGCGGCAGTCTTGTATCGTAACGTGAACCATAAACAGATGCCTGATAAGCTTCAAGCTGTTTCAAAACATTTTGGAATCTACAAGTATACGGAATATACGAAATAGTGCAAAGTTTGAGGTCAATTTTGGGTATGACCTTGACCTTCACCTTTGAGTATATCGTCGGATTCCTCAGTTTCTCTACTTTCGTTTCCTACCCGTTTTAGCCGGTTAAACCGGCTAAAACGGGTCGAAGGTCGAAAAACTGCGGCAGTTTTTCGACCTTCGACCCGTCCCTCCAACCGGTGTTGGAGCAAATAATTGACCGAATATCAATGCAAACGGAAAATAATCGATCAACAATGATCAATATTTTACCTGCATGGCCATTCCTTGCATCCATGTGCAATTTCAAGCTTCAGCCAATGATCCACTGTGGGTACCTTCCATAGGCGTAGGAACAGGGGGGGCCAGGTGGGCAAGTGCCCACCCACTTTTCGAGGTGGGGGGGCCAACCATGTGTTTTGGCCCACCCACTTTTTACTCGAGGCCCCTCGTCTCGATTTGAGAGGACGTCGTCACCTTCCAGAATAAACAAACTCGGTAAAAATAAGTTCCACGAATCCCCACGCACGGGCTCCAAGGGGCCGTGATGGATCCAAGGAGGCCCTCTGTTCATACTTGTCAGTCGAAGCCCCTGAGACTGATGGCCTGAGAGGCCCTAGTGGATCTGAGGAGGCCCCAATATCCACACTGGTCTGGGGAGGCCCCTGACACTGGCGGTCTGGGAGGCCCCTCTATCCACACTAGTCAGAGGTCTGAGACTGGTGGTCTGGGAGACCCCTCCATTCACACTAGTCAGAATAGGCCCCTGACACTGGCGGTCTAGCCGAGGCCCCCTACCCTCACTAGTCAGAGGAGGCCCCTCTATCCTCAATAGTCAGAAGAGGCCCCTGAGACTGATGGTCTGGGAGGCCTATCCATCTACACTGTAGTCAGAGGAGGCCCCTGAGACTGATGACCTGAGAAGCCCTTATAATCACACCAGGCAGAAGAGGTCCATGAGACTGATGGACTGAGAGGCCCTTCTATTCATACTGGCCACAGGAGACCCCCAAAACTTTCGGTCTGGGAGGTCCCTCAATCTGGCACCAGTCAACTCAGAAGAGTCCCCTGAGACTGATGGCCTGGAGTGGGAAGCCCTTAGATTCACACTAAGCAGAGGAGGCCCCTAAGACTGATGGTATGAGAGGCCCTCATATTCATACCAGTCAGAAGAGGCCCCCGAGGCTGATGACTGTGAGGCCCTTCTGTTCATATAACTGGCCACTGGAGGCCCCTGAAACCGGTGGTCTGGGAGGGCCCTCTATCCACACTAGTCAGAAGAGGCCCCTGAGACCGATGGTCTGAGAGGCTCTTATATTCATACTGGCCACAAGAGGCCCCTGAGACTGATAGTCAGAGAGGTCCACTCCTAATGAATCTGAGGGGGCCCTCTATCCACATTTACACTTTTCTAGGGAGGCCCCCGAGACTGATGGTCTGAGAGGCCCTTTTATTTATACTGTCCACAGGAGCCCCCTGAGATTAATGGTCTGAGACTTGAGAGGCTCTTCTATTTATACTAACCAGAGGAGGCCCCTAGGATTGATGGTCTAA